GTAGAGGCTTCGTCGGAAAGAGACGTGTTGGACATGAGGGGCGGCGAGTCTGGCCGCACCGCGCTTCAAGGCGGGTCGCAATCTTGAGAAGGATGCCATGCTGGCAAGCTCAAAGCCGTCATCGAGTTGGTGAGATTACAACGCGTACAGTTGGCTGTTGAGTGCGATGCTCAGGCTACATGTGCGATGCCATAACGCTGAGGAATGACGACGGCGTCATTGGCCGAGACCCCAAAGCCGCTGCATCGCCGGACCGCTACGTCACCCCCAACCTCTCCACTTCCCAATGCTTTCACCTTTCCTCTTGAACGTGGTCGGATCCAAACACAAATTCAATGTGTAACACGTAGCCTTATACACGAGCAGCTACTTGCTTCTGGCTTTCTCCTCTTCGTATCACGTTAACATCTTACCAATATCTCACGTATCCAAGGCACTCTATGTAATAGCTCCACAACGAGCCGCTGGTTATCAGAGGCTGGCTACTACTGTGACGATCACACTAGGTCATAATCTTCTTCAGCTGTATATCTTCCGAAGATAGTGGGGCTGGCCCCAGACAAGCTGGTCGGTCCCGAATACTCTGATCCTTTGTCGATAGCACTTTTCAGATCCGATGCTTGTGGGCGCAGGCAATACTCACTTATCATCTTGTGTAGGCATAACACGTGTTTGTACGCGTCGACACAGTTCTTCTTCAGTTTTACAACTTGTGGCATGCTCGGTGGAGCATTGGCTATACATCCTCATCCAAGGATAGCGCCAAAAAAGGGTTATGCTAGTACACAAGCTACACGCATCTTGTTGCGATCGAGAACATGACTTCAAACATATCATTCCAAAGTCACAACTCGACTACAGTCTCAACGCCGCCAAACTTTGAGACACAGCGGTGTGATGAAAGTTCAGGAGTTGTGTCATGAGCACTGACATCCACATCACGCGCTTTTACGTCATCGCATTCCGTTGTTGTTCCTGACATTTGGCTTCAGGTAGCACGGCTTATTTGATACTTCGAGAAGACTGGACGTATCGTGATACCAAACTTCACAGTTGTTCACAACAAGGCAGAGTGTATGCCTAGCCGCTGATGCTCCGCAACATAGTACATGACTTGTTTTATCACAAAACCTGAGTTTACTTGTTGAAATTATGAGCAGAAGCTAATTAATTCGACAAATTATCAAATGAGTCATGCGATTCCTGCAACTACCCGTTTGGTACCTTAGAACTACCTGTACTTTGGCTCTCAATCCTAGCGCACTGTACCGATACGCGAATGACAGCTGCATCACACCTTGTTTTTTTTTTGGAAAAAGTTGATTCATCGCTGCATTGTTGAGCACATTGAGCATGTATTTGTGTTACCGGGACTTGTATTGACCCTTGTATCATTGATCATTCGCCGCATCAAAGTTGGTCGTTGTGACGCTGTTCGCTGCTTCCTTGGCTGCAGCGAGTGCAAGTTCCGTTCTGTTTGTAGACATTTGCTTACGTCTTACAAGAACCTAGTCAAGGGCGTCACGAACTTGATGTTGACTTCTGGATCGCCAGGCAAGTGTTACAACGCGAGCCTTGTTGTGCTTCACTGTCAGATATAAGAACACCAACAGTGAAGCATCCATATCTCAGTATCAGCAGCTCCAACTCCAACAAACCAACAGCCTTCATCACTTCTCATATATCCAACATGCGTGTCTCCGCTCTCCTTCTCGTCGTGTTTGGCCTACCAGCTTTTGCGACCCTGCTTGACACGCAATTCCCGCACATGCTTCTGCCTCTCAAGAAGTCTCAGCCAGATACCGCTTTTCCGACCCAGAACAACGCGACCGTCAGCTACGACGTACGTGTTAACAAAAATACACACACACGCAATCGTCTGGATCATACTTACCTCTACCAGGACAGATCCCTTGATGAGCAATGGACAGCCGTCAACTACGATGTCCCCGACAACGCCGCAGATATCTGTCGCCTCCGATTCCTCATCAACACTGACACCTTTAAGAATGCTCCGCTCAGCCTCAAAGGTGAAGCACCTTTCGCCATCAACATCTCACGCATCGAACCCAAGCTTGTCAACGGCGGCACTACCTGGAACAACAAGCCAGCCATAACCGAGCACTACGATACATACGTGCTGTCTATGAACGGCGCAACGGAGGTTGTCAGCAAGTGGTTCTCGTGCCCCAAAGGAAATGTAGCGCAATTCGTAATTCATCCTGCTAGCAAGAGATATTTGGACGTCTACTGGTTCGAGCTAAACTACGGTGTTGAGGATGGAGGCCCACACGGCGTCGTGCTGGAAATGCACATCTGAGCTGCAAGAAACCATATGGCGAATGATTTGATAATTGGTACCAAATTGTAGTTGGAGGAAGGCGAAGGGCGTGTGAATGGAGTTGTCAGTGATGTTTTGGGCTATCCTCAACATAAAAGAACCAACGCGTTCCATAAGCTGCGCTCCTTTTCATACCAATATTTCGTCCCGACCACGATCAAAGGTCACCGCGAGAACGTTCCACCAATATGAAACTTACGTCTATCCATCCTTAGTAGGCTGGCAGTTTGATGTATGCATCTCTTGATAGCCCCGTCCTCAACGTTAACCAGCTCACAGCGAGAGTCCTTAAGCAATCAACCATATCTCAGCTTCCAGTTTTGGATTATTTCTCGTCGCCTGTTTAATGACCGCGGATACAGTCAACTAGCCGAGCGTGTCTGTTTCTGTTGAGTTGGTCATGAGTGTTGAGTAACCGAAGGTGACTGCTGAATAGTATTGCAGCGGCAACGTTGACGCAACGTAACGATGCGTCGTGCATGTGGCTCTAACGCCACTATCAGGCCATAGGTCTTGGGTGCTCTGTTTCTTCCTCAAGTCATCTGTCATCTTCATCTCTTGCCAGTGCGTCAACAATCCTCCCCAAAGCTCTCTCCATCAACCCAGCTCTCCCTGTTCTTTGCACAACACCAGTAAGCTCAACCTTTGTGGCTACAGTGGGCTTGAGGTCTATGAAGAGAGCATTTCGATGCGTGAGATCTGTTTCTTCGAAAACTTCGATGCCTTGTTCGTCGAGCGTCTTGATGACAACGATGCCAGGCGGGTAACGATGAGGGTAGGCGGGTGTGAGAGTGTGGAGTTCGATAGCGCTGTCCGTCATGGGGCATGCTTCGGAGGGTTTGGACGGTCTGGAATCTGTTGGGCGGATTCCATGACAGGTGCTAGGCTCAGTATGGATGGTATCTAAGGAGGTTTGCATGGTAGAGGTTGAGTAGGTTGATGACGCGTATGCTGAGGTAGTGTATGGCGATTTTTGTTGCAAATTTGGTGTTGTTTGTGTCTCTTTATCAGCATATACGTGTCTTCGAGGCGCTCCTCTGACCCTTTGTAATGGTTTGGGTGCTGTGCGATTCTCGCTGGGTATCCCCGTGCGGCTGAAGGTTTGATCGTCATCAGATGTGACGAAAGCATAGTCGCTTCTGGAATCTTCTTCTTCGCTTATCTGATGGTAAACGTATTCATGATTGCCGTATAGATGTCGAAGTGATAGGTCCATACCCGCGCAGTGCGAAGAAGAAATGCGAAAGACCGACACCAGTACATGAGCGTACAAGGGGTCGCTATTCCTGAACTCATATATCCCTCAAACGCGGCATTGAGGAATCCTTCGACAATACCCAGGTAGTGTTGTGTTGTAGAGAAATACCGCACGCTAATCCCAAATAGTTGCTACCTCCAAGATACCATATGAGGAGTAGCAGTATGTGGCGTTCGGCAACAAATAATCTTTGAGCCAATAAGGACATTGACCTTCTTATTTACCAGAAAACATATGGCTGTGAGTACTGGCCATATGCATTGGCTTTATGTCCCGGGTTTGTAGCTTGGATGGTGTTCTTTGGCTTTTTGCAAAAAGCTTGGAATGTCTTTTTTGCCAATCCCTTCAATTTCTTGGAGATCGCTCGTTCGAAATCGCCGCGCTTGGGGTCTGATTTATCTACTGTATTGGCGTGTTTCTCTTCAATACGCTGGATGTACGTATCGTCACTCTCTTTGGTGGGTGGTTGGCGAGATGTGCGGCTAGAGATCCTTTCGGAGCTTTGAAGCCCAATCGTGATGTCGTTACGGCGGCTTTCGGTTATGCGAGAATATGCGTTTCCTTGAACAGGGAAGGGATATGCGAAGTATCTCATAGCTGTTGTTGTTGCTGTTGTCGTCGTCGTCGTCGTCGTCGTCGTTGTGGGTACGGTGTCTTGTGAGAAAATGTGTCTTTGGCAAGATACCTATATAGTCTGACTTTGTTCTCGTTGAACGCTCATGTTAGATGTGAATAGAGAGAGACAGTGCGCGATGACAACGTTCCCGATTTTTGTACTCAGAACCTTTGGATGCTGTATAGGCCTTTGATGGTCAATTCGCGTAAGCGAACCGGCTGTACCATGTTTTATCGACCACTTCATCACTGGTGTTGAAATGGTACTGAGCAGACGAGCCACTCATAATTCCGATAGAGCATACTATATCTAAGACAGAAACTGTCCACGAACCAGAAGTACTGTAAACATAGCGGGTTCGCTGTACCATGGTAGCTGGACGGCGCCAATCTCGCAGGATACAATACACTAGGTTGTAATGGGGAACAAAGCAATGCGGTAGCATTACATGCGCTAAAGCCTTCTTCACTCTGAAAACGACGGTTGAATTACAGAACCATAATTATAGCTATGTTTATGCATTTTTTTCTTGGTCTGTCATGATTCATGTGATCAAAGACTGGCCAGGTGAGGATCTAACCCGAATGTGGAAATATTTGCTAGCGCGTTCATCTACCACGAGCATTTGTAATGTTGGACGCACATATGAACACCGCAAACGGGTATAAATTGCAGCACGAGGGAGCTGAGATACATGAGAACATATCCACTCGGTCCTACCTCCTTGATCATCACTTGTTGCTCTTTGTGCTTCGCGCAGCGTCAACTCTTAATATTATCTTACGATGTCTACACACTCTGCAGTTGCGACAGTAGCCAAGAAAGCACGTCTTGGCATAATCCAAGTTCCTACTGCTACTCCAGTAGAGCAGCAAGTCCGTGTCCGTGTCGAGTGGACAGCTTCTACGCCCTTGGACCTTCATCAGAACGATGGCGCTTTGCTCGTGAAGCATCCCCAAGTTCTTGGTGACAGTGTAGCTGGTACAGTAGTCGAATTGGGGCCAGATGCTAAGAGACTACAAGTTGGGGATAAGGTCTTCGGCTTCACCTGGAGGACTCAAGTAGAAAAGGCTCATCAAGAATTCTGCACAACAGACGAATGGCTCTTGGCGAAGGTAGATAGTGTTGAGTCTCCCGGTTGATTAGGCTGATGCTGACATATTGTAGTTACCAGACGGTTTCACTCTGGCCGAAGCTGTAACGTTACCCAACAACTTCGTGACAGTATTCCATTCCTTCACAGCCGATCTGGCTCTCGAAATGCCCTGGCCAAAGAACGAGTCTTATGTGCCAGGTAATGTTGATGTACCGATATTAATCTGGGGTGGCTCCTCGTCCGTCGGCCAGTTCGCCATCCAGATTTTGCACTACTACGGCTATAGGAACATCCTGACAACGGCGTCTCGAAAGCACCACGAGAAACTACGCAACCTTGGTGCAACCCAAGTATTCGATTACAATAGTGCAGATGTTGTTGCATGCATTTCAAACGCTGGTGGTGACGAGGGCATTCCTTTGATTTATGACTGCATCGGCAGCCAGAGCGGTAGCATCGCACCAATCGCCAAGATCGCGAAACCTAGATCGAAGGTTGCAATACTGCTACCGGTGATATTGCGCGATTCAACCGAGACGCAGGATCCAGAATATGAGATGGATGTGGGCAAAGTGGCAGAGTGGAGCGATGGTGTCGACGTCAGGGGCGTGCGAACGCACTTCTACCTAAACGTGAGTATAGTTGGTCCGTTGCTCAGGAGCGCACTGCTAACAGCACACAGAATGAGTACTTCAAGCACCATCTTCAGCCCGACATCATGCCCGCTATGTTGAAGGCCGGTGTCGTGACACCACAGAAGCAAAGGATGATAGATGGTGCGACACTGCTGGAGAGAGCACAAAATGCGATGGACATGCTGAGACGTAAAGACGTGAGTATGGAACGCCTTGTGTGGCGCGTCAGTGAGACGTAATCACAGGCGTGATATCGACACTGGCCGCATATGTCGTGATCCTGCAGGTCAAAATTAGAGGTGTAGAAGTGGAGAAGGTAAAAAAGACTCGGGACGCTGAGCACTTGCGCGTGCCCCACCGAAGCGATGCGCTGAGGCGCTTAGCACACTGCAGGCATGAACACCAGCCATGACCGTCCGTAACTGTAGCGAACCAATCCTCTGTTCATTGAACATCATGACATTTGAAACTATAACACGACGAGCCGCCTACCGGCTATAGTACCTTGAACAGTAGCAGGCCGCATTGTCACGAGCTTTTTGACTGCATCTATCCCACACCCATCACTCTTCCTTGATCACACCTCTTGGCCTCGCCTTGATCACCATACTCAGGTCGCATACAGGCAGGTCCGGCACCGGCAACTCCATGATCGCAATAATCAGAGCCAGCAAGAAGTAGAAGCCTAGTACGCTAGCCGCAAAGAAGCAAGCACCTGTACCCGTAGCCAACCTCGTTCCAACCACAGCATTTCCATTGGAAAGGTTGAAGAAGGCCCCAGCGCCGAGACCAAACCCGATTGTCGCAAACATAAAAATTAGGACAAACACGACGTTGACGCGTAACGAGCCGAGGAGGAATATGAAGGATAGAATGCACATGACGATGAGGTAGAACGCTGTTGGGTGCCAGATCAGTTTCACACACCGCCTTGGAAACCTGCGCTCACTTACCATAACTTGCTAGAAATACTGATGTCTGGTTCGACGTGCCAGGACTGCCAGTGCCGCTTCCATCCGGGTTGAAGTATCCAATCGAGTTGAAAGCGGGAACGAATGTTGTTGCGTAAGCAAAGAAATGCGCACCATATCCGAGGAATACCATCATTGGGAATGTGTTCCCAAGTAGGAACTCTCCAATACCTGCGAGGATAAGGAGCATACCGCCGAAAAATATGTTCACTGTCCCAGTCGCGACGCTGAGACCGCCCGAGCCCTGCCAGCCCACTACGGTTGTTGTCAGACACATGGAAGCAAGACGCGAGGGTGTTGAGATGATAGTAGACGTACTGAAGGCACACGCAAGTGGCATAACGGCAATCGAGAAGCCCAACACACCCACTGGCGTTGGGTTTCCAAACCGTGAACGAAGGTCCCCCGATACTCGCGTCTTCGGGTTTAGAAACAAGCGCTCATAGAGTTCTGGAGTGAGCGTAACCGTCTTGGCAAGCTCATAACGCAGCTTCTCTTCGGAATCATAATGCGCATCTTGATGTCGGTTCACGGTAGTTGAAGAGTAGTCGTGACTGGTCATCGTAAAGAGCACTGTGGATGTTTGTAGCGATGAGGAATGAGATTGCGCACATCGTATAGCGACAGCTCTTGCTCAGTATTTAATCAACCCAACAAGTTGGAGTTGCATATGGTATAGCCGCGGCTAACGTGTCTCGTGAGTTGAATGCCGGGTTGATTCCGTCTTCGATACATGTCTCTGTCGACTCCGCATTCAATCGAGACCACGGTATCGCGACATTCCCGTTCTCCGGCCACTAGCGTGATGCTATCAATGAACGTTTGATAGTAGAACTAAGAGGTTTGACAGAGTCTATGTGCTGGTCATGAGTAGCAATATACATGTGTTTTTCATGTGTACATAGGCATGACCACTTCCTTGGTCACCACTGTGTTCCCAAAAGGATCCTCCAAACAATACCCCATGAAGAGCTTATGTCCCTGTGACTGAAAATCTAGATCTCTCGTGATAGACTAGTACTAAAGACGGAAGCGACTTCAGCTGCATGGTTGATCGCTAGGCGGCTTACATTCCGATGGGACTTGATGGTGTAAACATGGGCTTGAGGCTATTATAGGGTACAGTTAAGCTTCCTTAGCATCGTTTTTCCCCGCATCTCTCAAGAAACTACCCGTAGACAAGCGCTTGCACATCTTCAACAAGTACTGTAGTTGGCAAACAGAGCCGTCGGCCGGATGCAGAGGGGCAGCATCCGGTTGGATGGTACAGAAGCGGCAGCCTAGTAGATGTCATGGCAGCCATCGAGCCTTCCCTTGAACAAAGCTGCGCGTTCTTTAACCACTCTCCACATTTGTCGCATCGGCTGAAGATGAGTTCAGCGTTCTTGTTCAACTGTGTGGCGAAGCAACCTCGGAGATGAACGCGTTGTGTTGACGAAGGATGGCGTTGACTCAGCATCGTCACATGCGAGATTGAGCGACCCCACCAATCTCCGATGGGCTAGAGCTGGTTGGTGACCCCTTCCGATCCAGCTCACTGCAACTTCTGCAGCCCTCATCAACCGCAAAGAGGATATCTTCAACGCCTCATATGGCGCTTGATGCATCGCCAAAAAGGTAGCGCGCGGTACTGCTGTGTATGACGCAGTTGAAGCTCCTGCAATACGGCCAACCAGGTTGGTGGGGACACGCCACAATCTCGTTTCCGTTCCTTGCATTAAGCCTCGGGACACCTGAAACCCACCGCACGTTCGCGACCGTTTCAACCCGGGATCATGGGCGCTTCAACCAGGTAAGCCGGCTCGTCTATACTGCTGTCTCGAGCTAGACAACTACGAGAACCGGATGGTGTCCTGTCAACAGGCATGGTGGCCGCTGTCGCGGGAACATGTTTGCTTGGCCCGCAGTATCGAACAGCACCCTGCCATCTTAGCTGCGCTCAGGCTTCTTATGACTGGTGGAGTAACGATTCAAGCATGACAAGAAGACCCACGCCACGTCTGGCATCTCAGGAACAGGCAGGGCATCGGAGTCGTTTTGAATCGGGGGCACAGTCAAGCGTTGTTCGAGGCTGCAATCCATCGGGGACTTGTTTCGCATGTTTAATGACACGGCCCACAGATTGAGTTGTGAAGAGGAATAGTGCCATGTTGTCGTATTGTATATAGCTCTCTTGGTACTCTCGGTTTCCTTCCCATCAAACAACAGTTTCTTCACTTCCAACTACAGCTTCTTTGTGCATCTTAGGTCTGAGACCTCACATTCGTTCTTTCAACACACACTCATTCATTACACTCGTTCACAGAAGCCAGGCTTCAGTCAATCTTTACAGCAACTCTCACTCTTCTCAACCAACCCATCAACCATCACAATGAAGTCCTACACCGTCGCCGCCGCCATTGCCGGCTTTGCCTCTTCCGTCGCAGCCCACGGCTTCATCAGCGAGCCTGCTCCCCGTATGCCCGGCGATGGCCTCAAGGCTGCCTGTGGTGACCAGGTCTACAACACCCAGTCCTCGGACCACTACGGAAACGTTCAGGGTGCTCTCCAGAACCTCCAGGGTGACCACCCTGACTGCCGCATGTGGCAGTGCAAGGGTGTTCCCTTCTCTGACGCTGGTGAGATCTTCGAGTACACCGCTGGTCAGGTCATCCCCATGAAGGTCGAAATCCGCGCGCCCCACGACGGTGTTGCCAACGTTTCCATCGTCAACATCGCCACCGACAAAGTCATCGGCAAGCCCCTCATCAGCTGGGACGAGTATGCCCTTACCTCCTCTCCCATGTCTCAGCACCCTGACTGGACCTCTTTCGACATCACCATGCCCGATGTCAGCACCGAGTGCGCCAACAAGGGTGACTGTGTCATTCAGTGGTTCTGGGACGCTCCCTCAATCGACCAGACCTACGAGTCCTGCATCGACTTCACCATGGGCGGTGGCTCCGGTTCTGGCAGCGGATCGTCTCCCGCTCCCTCAGCTTCTGCTAAGCCCAGCGCTTCTGCTTCACCCGTCGCTTCTTCCGCTCCTGCTGCCAGTTCTGCTGCCCCCTCCAGCACGGTTCCTGAGGCTACCCCTACCCCTACTGCCGCTGAGGAGGCCGCCACCCCTGTGGCCACTGGTGGTTCCGACTCTGGCTCCGACTCCAGCCTCCCTGAGTCTTTCACCATCGACACCTTCATCACCTGGCTCCGCGCCAACGCCGGCACTGGTGTCGCTGACAAGGTCCGCCGCATGGTAGCCGCTCAGCGCGCCCACCCCCGTGCTTTCCGCGTCTAGATGATCTTGACATATGATCTGTAAGACAAGTACGATAGACAAAATTCCTGTATTGGGCGAGGAGATGGTTAGAGTTACTGTTCGATTCTGTTGTAAATATACAATTCAATGATGCACATTATTTGCTCGCTTGAGCGAGGCTGTAAAATCTTCAATTGCGCCTTGCCTGTAATGTCCTCGGGTAATACATAGCCACTAACTTCGTGATTTTATTCAATGTGATTGAATTGATGTCTTCTGCTTCCACAATGTGGGTTATTACCGGTTGTCGTCCACGATATGTATTCGGACGATCTCATCGACCAAATATGGTTGGGAAGCTGCTTGAGACCGGAATAGTTGCATAGGACAAGAAATAATTCTCGCGTGTGCAAGCTTGTCTGGCTTTTCGATGTGTTTTGGTCGCTAAATTTGCTGAGTCCATTCCGGGTGTGGTATTGGAACCATATTGACGTGCTTGTTCTGTCAGTCACGATGATGAAAGACCGAGAGATATGGAAGCTGTAAAGCGGGCGGCTTTGCGCTTATATTAATGACGTCATCGACGCCGAACGACGCGTCCCGTTCGAATTTACTTAGAGACCAGCGAAACCATGGGTACCATATATGGGGTCCATTACAATACATGCTAACAATAAGTTACAACATAAGAATAGAGCTTCCACGCCCCCACGGATGATGTCCGCTCCATCATCATCCACACGACTATTCAACGCCGCTGAAGCGCCGCTGACTCCATCATCAGATGAACATCGACTGAGAATCGCATTCATACAGAAAAACAACCACTATTATATACCACATCAACGTATACCTAACAACAAACGATCGATACAAGTGACCACACTATCCAGGTGGTCAACGTACTGTTGTACAAGAAAAACAGGGAAGCACGTTAGAAATTCAGATGCACTTTCTAGCGTTTGCGAATACTGGGATGTATGGCTGCTAGGTCCAATGGCAGTACTTGCTCCTAAGCCTTAAGACTGAT